ATCACCACCCCTCCCCCCCACCCCCCATCAACCCTCAGTTTATTCTCAGTTTTTATTTTAAAATGTTTAAATGTTTATTTCATTTTGTTTTATTTTTGAGAGAGAGAGAGTATGTGAGCGGCGGAGAGCAGAAAGAGAGAGGGAGACACAGAATCCGAAGCGGGCTCTGGGCTCCAAGCTGTCGGCACAGAACCCGACGTGGGGCTCAAACCCACAAACCCTAAGATCATGACCTGACCTGAACCAAAGTCAGATGCCCAACCAAGTGAGCCACCCAGGTGCCCCTACAAGCCATTAAAATATGCAAGAATTTTTGCCCCTTATATTAGCGTTCTCCAGAACCAATAGGATGTATGTGTGCATAACTTGATTCTTATACATATCAATGTGCATATATACATATAAGCATATGAATATGTTTCAGAATGTTCATATTTTTAAAACATAAAAAATAAGGAAGTGGCTCACGCGATTATGAAGACTGACCAGTCTCAAGACCTGCAGTTGGTGAGCTGGAGACCCAGGAGGGCCAAAGGTGCATGTTCCAATGCAAAGGCCGACAGGCTAAAGATGCAGTGTGAGCTGATGTTTCAGTGTGAGTCTGAACAAGGAAAGAACCTCTGTCCCACGTCCGGGTAGTCAGGCAGGAGTCATTCCCTTTCGCTGGAGAAGGGTGAGCCTTTTTGTTCTATTCAAGCCTTCAACTGATTGGGTGGGATTCATCCACTTTAGGGAGGGCAGTCTGCTTTACTGCTTTACCAATTCAAATGTTCATCTTACCAAGAAACACCCTAGAAGACCCAGAATAATGCTTGAGCAAATGTCTGGGCACCCTATGGCCCAGTCAAGTTGAAACATAAAATTAACCATCACACCCCAACCCCCATTCCAACTATAACACAGTTGGGGGAGACCTTGCCCCTGAGGACGCATGGTCCAAGTGACTTCAGACTGCATCTGGTATGTATATACGTCCCACCCACACCATCCAGCTCTTGTCTCTCCGTCCCTGCTCTTTGGGGCGGCTGGCCAGTGGTGCTGAGGTGGTGAATCCACAGGAACGGAGAGAGGGGCATTTCATTTCATTTTTCTATGCTAAGGGGTCCTGGGGGAAGACTGAAAGCCATGGAGGAGAAGAGGGTAGGACAGATTTGAAGCAAATGATTAACTTTGAGAATCCACCACAGCAGAAACAAAGCTCTGGTTTTCATTATTTCCCGGGATCTCTATGTAGTTTCGATTTCCCCAAAAGGAGCCCCGGCACAAAATAATTAGGCCCTGCCTTGGTATTTCGCTGCTGTTGAAATCAGCTTTTAGAGAGGATGTGAACATCCCTCTCCAGGCCTGAGCCCCACCTCAATCTCAATGAGAAGCTAACTTCTCATGTTCCTAAGTTGAAAAGCAGTTGAACAGATGGTGGCTGACACCTTTCTCAGGAATCCTGGAAACCCACCAGTCTATCCACTGAGGTATGAAAAAGAGAAAAAGGGACCAAAAAATGTGGTGTGGAGAGAGAAATGACTGGAGCGGAGGAGCCCAAGAGAACGCCGTGCTGCTCGGCGTTCGGAGGGGCGCTGTCCGCCATAAGCCGGGAGTTTAGGAGCCAGGAGGAGAGCACCAGCTTTCTCCTTGGTGGGATGTATGGCTGCAGCCAGGAGGCTGAAACCAGACAAAGGAAAAGCCATGCAATACGGTGCACCTAGTTTCCCCACGAGAGACCACAGCATACTATAAACCTGTATCTGCACTTTGGCACTGAAGAGCAAGCAAAGAAGTTTGTTTCTGCTGTTTCCTTGAGAGGATAAGAAAAAGAAATCTAAGCAAAGACTGTCTTTTGGTGTGGGGGGGGGGGGCTGAGGGGAAAAACAACAGCTTTAAGTCAGTCACCTTGGTAAGGTGTATATATTTGCTTTTCTACCAAATGATTTCAGATTTGCTTCAAAAAATGGGGCAGTGATTGTTGGACGTGACCCAAGACACTACATCAAATTCTTTGCCCTTCTATTAAACTTGAGACCTAATATCTGTATTATCTTTGTCCTGATAGAAACTCATCATTCAGCCTCAGTGACAATTTTGTGGCTGACCACATAAAACTTAGTAGCAATGAAACTACTCAGTAGCATTGCTCTGATTTTTTTAGTTCCTACAAATTTAAGTCATTATACAAATCATTGTAGAAAATCAAATATAGGGGAGAATCCTAGGATACAGAACATATCATTGTTTTAGGGTTAGAATGTAGAAGAGTGTTAAGGCAAATCAATCCCTTCACTTTCTAGAAGTGGAAAGCTGCATCCAGAGAGGTTGAACAATTCACTGAAGGTTAGCAGCTGGTTGGCAACAGACTTTTCCTACCTTAGGGCAGGCTTGCTTACCCCTCCTAACACAAAATGAGAAAACTACCCACAGGTTCACTTGAAAAGCCCACTACCTGGGACCTAGGACCACAGACTGGCATTTTAGAAAGTTGAAGATAGGAAATTTGTTCACACCGTGAGAAGGGGAAATGGACTAAAAATGGCAGCATACAGGAATAGCTTTACATTTGCCTCCTAAAGAGCTGTCCAGTGGAGTCATGGTATTAGGAAATCTCCATGCCAAAGTCCTCCAAAGAACACACTCAAATCCCACGTACCTGTTTGCAGATGCCTGAAGATCAGGAGTAAATGTTTTGCTTCGTGTCACAACGAAAAAGGGGCTCTCTGTGAAAGTGTGATATGGTTGTCCCCAGTAAAGTCCAACGACAGCACTGCAGACGTGGTGGAAAGCAAGGCTACGTATGCCGGCCAAGATCTCCTGTAGCCAAGGGAAGAGCCAAGTTTTGGCAAGACGGAACATCCTGGCCACAGATCTGTTGACAAGAGTGGGTTTGGACAGAATCATAGGACCCCTGGCTAGGTAGAAACCAAATTCAAAAAGAGGTGCATCAGATGATGTTTGGGGATATAGAAAAGAAAGAGTTGACCTTTTTGCTTTTATCTTTATGTCAACAACAAGGAATAAATTAATTTTTCTGAGTATCTAAAATGTATACAGCACTTATGCTCTCTCTTGGCCATGCAGTCTCAGTGTGTAAGGCACCAGGAGTCCTGGGGGACGGACACGGAAGCCCCATCCTGATAGATTGCACCCCGACTCCCATGCTAAGTGGTGTCACTCATGACGGTACCTAGTTGTAAGTAGACTAACTGACAAAAAGGACAAGTGGACCTTCTGGATGGGTGAATGATAAGCTGTTTGGACAAACGTTCCTACTTTCATTTTCACATCTAAAAATGCTACATAAAAATAGATTTTTAAAAACCTTAAAATAAAATTTAAAACTCTCCTAAAATATCAAGGAATTGGCAGCAAAATTAGGAATTATAAGGTAATCGAAAATTGATGTTAAAGTGGGAACCCTGAAAACTCTTATTCCTAGGGTGTGTGCTGATGTAGGCACATAGAGGCATTAGATTTTCCAGTCTCTTGGGGCACGAGGAACAGAAGTCGAGCCATAGTGAACCCTGCCCCAAGTAAACTGGAGGGTTCCTCTCTCAAATTATGGGTGATCCAGAGAGAACTACCCTTGCATGGATTTGCAGCCCAAAGTAACATCAGTTGGGAAGACAAAAATCATGACAGCTGTGAATCTCGTTTGAAAGAAACTCATGCTGTCCTGCTTTGAGGTATTTAGCAGAAAACAAATGTGAATCTTCTTCTAAGGAATGCCCCTTTCTTCTAGATTTCAAATTATTCCTACAAATAATTTTTTTAATTAAAAAAATTTTTTTAACGTTTATTTTTGAGACAGAGAGAGACAGAGCATGAATGGGGGAGGGGCGGA